ATAAATTAACTCAGAACTACTCAATCGATTTTAAAAATTCTTTCATGTATAAAATAACTATTTAGTTATTGTGCATCACCACCGAATAATGTTACTTTATATATTATTTTTGAAAATTTTATCTTACAAAGTCGAGCCCGATCATATAAAAATAACTCTACAACCTATAATAATAAAGATTTGGTTCTAATAAAGGAATCTACGAGTAAAAGGTAACATAACAACATAAACAAGCAAGCCCAAGCGGGCACCTCCCGGGAATCAAATTTGTGACTGAATGACGCGCCAAAGTTAATTAAGCCGACATCGTTGCCTCCGTAAATATATACAGTTGCTAAATTAAAAGCTCTGTCTATACGTACAGTTATGGACTGTGCAGACGAAGGACATGTTTGGACTTATTACAAAAATAATTTAGAACACTATCTACCTAGACAGTGTTTAACAAACTCTGTCTAAGTAATTAAACATTGTTCAGTAAATTTTAATAATGTTTATTTGTAATTTTATATGCCAAATTTATATGCCAAATACACTGGACATAACTATAGGTGTGTTCAGACTTTTTTTTAAATATAATACAGCTTATATTATGTACTGATGATGCAGCTTTCTATAGGTGAAAGAATTTTTAAAATCAACAATAATAAATTATATATAATTAGATATAGAAGTATTTGTATGCGTACATTGCTAACACAAAGTGAAATTTTATTCGTAAACAAAAGTCCGTCGTCTGCTCAGACCCTTATATGTACTTATGCATATCTAACGTTTGCTTCATAATAATGAGGTTTTGTGGACGAAACAGATCGACTACAAATCTTTATGATATGTATTTATTTATTTAGAATACCTAATAAATATACATTTTCCTCTACAAAATTGAGAAAAAAATTATTTAAAATAAATTTATATTAAATATTCCGCATATATATAGCCTAAATACTTTAACCATATTGTATGGTTTGTTAAGGTACCGTGAGGTCACTGACCGAAATGAGAATTGATATTTTCAATGTCCCACTGCTTGACAGTGGTCTTTTCCCATAAAAATAGGAGTCACGCCTATTATACCGCTGTGACCAAGCGATTTGGTATTGAATCATTTGAAATTGCCTTCTCTCTTATTGATATAGGTATTGTGCATTGTTACCTCAGACACCTCTTTTGACATCTCAGGCTTTTGTTGTTTTTAAAAATAATATTGTTATTTTATCAATTGTAATAACTTGATAACTATCAGGTACTAAGTTATTGTCATAAATCAGAGTTAAGTATTTCCATTCTACAACAGAGGAACAATTATGAAACTTTGTTCCAGTGAATACTGTATTCTGTGACTGAACACAACGAAACTTCCAAAACAAAATGTTACAAGCTCAAAATAAAATGCGACAGTGTCCCAAGTCCGAACAAAACATCAAAGACGAGTGGCGCCGCACATCCCTCGCTGAAGTTTCTAAAAATGGCGCCCGTTACACTTTGAAGTATCTCCAGACATTCGTGTCACGTGCAACGAAGAGATACTTTCACGTGAAAAGTGCGTGAAAATCCATTCGCACGTTAGACAATTTAGGCTGTCTGCACATTGAGATACTTTAAGTCAATGAATAGTTGCGAGCAAATTCTGTTAGAAACAATTATAAGTTTTTCATTTCGTAATCAATGTTTTTTAGTAACGAAATGTTTAGATAAAAAAATAATTACACTTTTGAATTAATTATACGCTGACTGATATAAAGTGTAATTTTTGAAATTTTCCATCGATTTTATCTTAATATTTCGTTTTACTATTAACTTATATACTTTTTTTTTAATAGTTAATTTTAAACATTTGCGTTGTTGACACATTTTTCATATATGTCGCGTTAAATCCCGACAGTGTATTTAAAATGCTTTAATTATAACACTATAATATACTATAATACACTAACGCCCTGTTAATTTAAACATTGCTACACAGCAATGTTTCAAATTAACAGGGCGTCAGTGGATGCAGGTGGCTCAGGACTATTCTTTATGGCAGTCTATGGAGGAGGCTAATGTTCAGCAGTAGACAGATAATAGCTGAGATGATGATGATAAATGTTTCAAATCACCAAAAAATTCGGAAAATTTATTAAATAAATATTTAACATAAAATAATGAAAAATTTAACATTGATTTTTATAGAAAGAAAATATGATTTAAGAGACGCAAATGTATTGTGTTGTCAATATGAGTCGCATGCAGATACGTATATCGCTCTATAAAGTTGCGTGATGTATGAAAGCCCTTCGGGAAAGGGGAAAGCAGAAGTCGATCCTACTTAACGTTTAACTTTAAGGCGTTAAGGGATAATTCGGTCAGTTAAGTGAAGTCACTGGCGGACGTCTACTCGTTGATGTTTACACACGAAATGAAAAGGACACACTCTCTTAAACATAGTAAGTGGGTATGTGTATCATGGTATATCCTTATTAATAATGTAAATACAAAAGTGAGTTTGTTTGTTCGTTACCTTTTAACGCATTAACGTTTTAATCTATCAGTATAAAATTCGGTATACATGTATATACTATTAGCTGATGCCTGCGACTTTGTCCGCGTGGTAGGTATTTATTATTTCTTCGATTAATATTTTTAAGTTCCTTATTATAGTGAATTATGTCTGGGAATATTAGACCAAAAATTAACAAATGACGTGTTGTTCTCACTTTTTGCCTTAAATCAAAATATCTATTTAATTAGATTGTGTACTAAGCTGTGTAAGTTACTATAGCTTTTTAGCTATCCCACGGAAACTCTTTAATTTTCCGTGATTAAAAGTATCTAAAATGTTGACCAAGGATATGAGGTATGACCATGCAAAATGTCATTTAGATCGGTCCATCAGTTTCGGAGATTAGCCCGTACAAACAGACAAACAGACAGAGAAACAACAATTTTTTAAAAAATATGGATATGTTCTATTTCACTTCCATCATCCCCCTGGTTTGGTTTTTAGCGTTTTTTTTTTCTATATACAGACATTTGACACAGATGTAGGATAAAAAATATACCTATATAATAAATAAGTGACCGACATAACCCGAAGGATAAGTAAGCTGAAATAGCAATGGGCTGGTTACATAGCTTGAAGAACCGACAACTGATGGGGAAGAAAGGTTCTTGAGTTTAACCTGTTGTTACCACGCTTGGCAAGCGGGTTGGCAACAGCAATCAGTATTTTAGTGATATTTTAAGAGAGACACTGCTGCCCATCCCTCTATTTTTTAAGTTCCCCTAGTTATAAAATAGTTTATACGACTATAATGATGTATATGGGCAAAGCCACGAAAAACCGCTAGTAGTTTATTCTACTATATACGAGTACTACAAAACAAAGTCGCTACCCGTCTGTCTGTCCCTATGTATGCTTAGATCTTTAAAACTATGCAACGAATTTTAATGAGAGTTTTTTTTAATAGATGGAGTGATTCAAGAGGTAGATTTATATGTATAATATATGCATAATATAATGGATAAACACTGATATTTTAGAGGTATCTGATGTGATGAGGTGTAATGTGCACCCGTGCGAAGCCGGGGCGGGTCGCTAGTTTCATATAGATCTGTTTTTTTTTATTCAAGTGATAAACTGACGTTCCACGTGTTGAAAAGTGGTAACTGTCGCCTATAAACATGATCATCATAGAGTATACTGTGACTCCCATATACTCTTTAATTCGTTGCTTATATAATTGTAAATCCTCAGTTCACATTTCTGTTTAAAATAAAGATTAGTCATTGAGTGGTTTTCATTTAAACAATTGGTAGAGTCTATACATATTCGTGAAACGGGCGAGTAACCCCGTTCAGGGTACACCCACCCCCTTTTCTTGAATGGGCGGGTGGGGTAAGTAGGGGGGCGAGCGGCTCGTTGTTGCCGCATTCTTCCCAAACACCTCTAGAGCTTGTTGCGGAACGCCAGATTATATCCTTTGTTACTTTTTTTTTATTTTCATCTGTACCCATTTTGTAAATTTAATCGAATTATTCATATACTAGTTTTTACACGTGACTTTATTCCAGTGATCGGGATAATAAATAGTCTATGTCTATTCCAATTATTACGTGTATAGCAAATTTCATAACGATTGCTTAAGCCTTTAAGGCGTTAACAGGTAACAAACAAACATACTTTCACTTTGATAACGTTACTAGCTTTTACTCGCGAGATTGTCTGCGTAACCGGGATATGTTTACTGAACAGAAAAAAAATTGTCATTTTTTTATATCACAAAGGTGGCATACAAGCATATAGCCCATCTGATGGTAAACAGTCACAGCGTTTCTATCTCCAGGGATGTCACATACGTGTTGCCAAACCTGAAGAATCCTTAATACGACCATTTTCTACTTTTATTTCTAAAATAATCACGATCACACATTTTGAGAATAATTTTGTACATACATACATCGTAGATAGATAGATAGATACTCTATATTGTTTCCTCCATAAGATTACAATAGTAAAATTTTTATAAATACAAACACTTACAAGAGGATATTACACTAAGAAAACAATGGGCGGTTTTATCGCTAAGAGCGATCTCTTTCAAGCAACCTTTGGATGGAGAAGAGTAATTATAAACAGTTCGACTGGAGGCACAAGACTGTTTATTTTTTAAACACATTTTTTAAATAAATCGTACTTTTAAAATTCTACTTAGACATTGTACAAAAGGCGTCTGTTTGGGTACCTCTACCTCATTTATGTTTCTGCCGTGAAGCAATCATGCTTTCATGGCCGTGTTTCGGTTTAAAGGAGGGACAAGGCAATGAAATTACAGGGTCTTACTTAGTCCTCAGGAATGGCAACGCATGACGGGTAATCATCATGGGTGACAGTATACTCTGCTATGTCTATGGTACTGTTCATGTCTTTAGGCGACGGTTACCTACCACTTTTCATCAGGAGGTTCGTCATTTTGTTTACCACTTTACATTACATAAAAAAATCATTAGGATCTTACCTCGTTTATGCTCTTCACTATTCCCCGTCCGATTCAGTTGAGGGGGGAGTGGTGCTGGTATCGCCGGTGCGGCTGGTGCAGTAGGCAGTCCAGGGTACCACCAGCCAGTCGCCGCCTGTCCGTTGAACATCCTCAGCTTCTCATAGACGCTGTCGTTCTGGGCCGAAGCAGCTTGCTCCTTTTGGGATGCTAGGTTTCGAAGCACCCGATTTATTGAAGATACCTAGTCAAACAATAACATAAGTTGCTTGATTTTCAATTAGAAAATGTGTCATATTTTTTTTAAATACCATTATGGCAAATAAACATACGGCCAACCTGATGGTAAGAGGTTAGTGTAATCTTGGACTGTATTTGAGCTACTGCACGAGCGTTGCCGACTGTGGAGAAACGTCTTTACCCATTTTTTGAATAACTTCGTTCTAATACTACTACACTGCTAATATTTTAACAGTGTAGCTTAGATACCTCTATCCCACTTGTTTCATCTGTTAATAGAGCTAAGCATGACTGTGTTTGGGTTCAAATAGCCCTCTCTTCATCATAATATCGGCCGTTAACTGCCCACGGCTGAACATAAGCCTTCTGCCTTTTTGGTGGGGTTTGCCAGTAGTTGTCACGTTTGACAGGTAAGTTGGCAACTGCACTTATACTTTTAGAGATGTTTTAAGAGGAATGCTGCTCCATTCCATCCTCCTCCTCCATTCCTCGACTATTAAATTCCTTAGCCACCTCCTGCGAGACCCACGGGAAAGGAAGCAGTGGCCTATTCTATGTCGAAATCACACGGCTAGAATGCTCTCTTCAGTGACTTATGATAATAAAATACTCGTATAAGGTAAGAAGGCACAGCAACTTATTCCTCAAGGATGGCAATGTATGAGGGGTACCATGGGTGACACAGATATCTATAATTCCCATGATGTTGTTTATGTTTATATCAAACGAATGATACTTTCCATCAGGTGAACCACCTTTTTGTTTACTGTTTCAATTTGCATAAAAAATTAATATATAAAAATATTTTTTAAAAGTTTTCTTATAAGAAGTTCTGATAAGCAATCTTATAATGAAGAGAAATGGTCCATCACAGATATAGGTTTAAAATTGATAGTGCAAATACAAGTATATACCTACTTCTACTTTGTACTTTGTGTATTAATATTTGTTCCTAAATTAAACTGAAATCTAAATTTTGTCTAAATTAATTAGGTTCTCTAATTGAATCAGAATAACTGCAATTTAGATAAATTATTAATTTTATATATTTAAATTAAATTTATTATAAAATTTATATAAAAAAAGGTTAACAAAAACAGTATTGCACATAAAAATTTTAAGGTTTTAATGTGAAAAGAAGTAATAAATTGGTTTCAATGGAAGTATTTTAGTAGGAACATGTTTAGTTTAAGGTATAATTTCACTATATTTTGAATATATAGCGCGGGTGGAATTACTAATCCATATAGGTATATATATATATATATTATCTATGTCTGTGGTATTGATTGATTGTGTGTACACCATATAAGTATCATTCCAGAGTTATATGAAGCATTAAAGATTGTATCCCATAAAAAAAATCGACTTTAATTATCATAAAACCAGTTACTTTACTGATAAAATTTCTATGAAACCAATCTGTAAGTACATCCTTTCAGATAAAAAACAATTTTCCAAATCGATTTAGAACGGAGTTATGAGGTGACAAATATAAACAAAAAATACAACCGAATCGAGAACCTCTTTCTTTTTGAAGTCGGTTGATAATTAACAGTTTCAATATAAGTAGGTATACACATTCGTATGTAAAATGTACGTTATTATACCATATAGTAGGCACCAATATTAAACCTTCAATATAAACAGATTACATTATAATAAATATATAAACATATAACTAACTACTTTCTAATGGGAAACAAATTACCAAACGACCCCACCCTCTAAGTTCAAAACACGTGTAATTTACAATCTAATATGATTACTAAATTCCAATCGGGAGCCTCAAAGGGACACAGATTAGGGCATCCCTCCCCTTTACCCCCGGAACACCCCTCAGGGGCCTAAAAACCCCAATATCTATCTACTTTCACCAAAAAAGCACGCATGCGTAAAAACCTGACTCACACAAATATAAAACCCTATGTATGCTCATTTTAACACGTCGTACCTACTCATCTCTTGTTATAGTTATACATTTTACCCGGGGAGCCTCTAGATATAATATCTATCTGTTTTCTTGTTGCCATTGGCAACGGCGAAAATGTATTTTTCTCTGTGCCGGGGCGGGAAATCGCCCGTTTGGGGAGATATGTGCTTACAAAATCGTGAATTTGTACATCGGACTGTTGGTATTCGTGATATTATATCACGGTCACATGACTATTTTAATAGCTGTTTAATAGTTTCACTATTATATTTTTGTAAATTGTATATTATGTATTGTAAATGTATAAAATTTATAATACACATACAAATATGTATAACAAGAAATTAAGTATGTGTGTGTATGAGTTTTTAGTACCCAATGTAGAAACTCTGCTTAGTTTGGGATTAGATAGCTTTGTGATAAGATCTGAAATGATATTTAAATATTACAGTATTTTTGATGAAGTGTATTATATTAAATTTACTTTATTTTTATTGTTATATATGCTAGTAAAGTGTATTATATATATATTTTTTTTTATTTTTTCTTACCATATATGATATCCTGTTTGTGTTAGTATTAATAGACTGTATACGAAACATATGGAAGGGAATATAATCCTTATTAGAAATTAATCCAATAAGATAACAAATTAATATCCCTAATTCTTATTATTATATAAAGATACTTGTCTTGACTTATCAGTGAGAGGAAGGGGGGGGGGGATGAATATAAAATTATTATATAAAATCTTTAATATTTATATTTTCCTTTTAAATGTTTTCTTAGATTATAACGATAATGCATCGAGTCAACTTTTTGTCAGCTAATTGTCAAATTAGCTGAGTCTTTTTTTATCAGTATTATATATTTACGCGTAAAATGTATCTTGAGTGTTTATGCATTAAAATGATGGAAAAACTACAAGACAAAATACATATAGATGTTATAAAGGAATCACTCATAACTATTTATCACTCAAAATTGTATAAAAAATTGGCCCGTTTTACGCGAAACATTTCTAAGAAGACATTTTGTATATAATCTAAGCATGTAACGTAAGAGAAATTTAAATGACAACAGAATTTTACGAATTGGTTTTACAACTAACGGAAATATTAGGTACCAAATAAACATAAAAAAGAAAAAAAAAAACAACCGAATTGAGAACCTCCTTTTTTAAAAAGTCGGTTGACTATACGCGTTCTACTTTTGTTAAATGTGGAGATAATTTGATATACAGTTCGTTATATATATATATATATATATATATATATATATATTATCTATGTCTGTGGTATTGATTGATTGTGTGTACATCATATAAGTATCATTCCAAAGTTATATGGAGCATTAGATTGTATCCCACAAAAAAAATCTACTTCAATTATCACAAAACCAGTTACTTTACTGATACAATTTCTATGAAACCAATCTGTAAATATATTCATTCAGATAAAAAAAGAATTTTCCAAATCGATTTAGAACGGAGTTATGAGGTGACAAATATAAACAAAAAATACAATCGAATCGAGAACCTCTTTCTTTTTGAAGTCGGTTAATAATTAACAGTTTCAATATAAGTAGGTATACACATTCGTATGTAAAATTTACGTTATTATACCATATAGTAGGCACCAATATTAAACCTTCAATATAAACAGATTACATTATAATAAATATATAAACATATAACTATATATATATATATATATATATATATATATATATATAGTTTAAGTTTAAACAATGTTTGCCTACTAAAACCGTAAAATAGACTGTTTTCTATATGAAAAGCCGACTATTTCGGAGGCTTCCAGCTGTAACGTCTGAATTAATCCCTTGTAGCGCTAATGGAAGATAATGTACGCTGATAGGGCGGTACAGGTGCAAATACGCTGAACCGAAATCATAGGGACGTCGATATACCTGAAAATATTTGAAAGGGATAACCTTCATACCTGTATCTAGTCATATATGTATATTTGATTATTTAATGATTTTTGAAAAAAAAAATACATTTTACAAATATCAAATTAATTAAAAAAAAACAATCAATTTCATAAAATTATGGAACAGTGAACATGCCATGCGGTCCCGGCATAGACCGGGTCACCCCTTCCTTTCTCGTGGGTGTCGTAAGAGGCGAACTTAATAGTAGAGGGATGGGCAGCACCGTCCCTCTTAAAACTTCATCAAAGCCTAACTGTGGTTGCCAATTCGCCTGGTTAAGTGTTTGCCACGCTTGGCATCGAGTTGGCAAAACTCCCCTTATGCCAATGCAGCAGTGGATAGTTGTTGGTTGATACGATGATGATGATATAAGATGGAATTAATATAATTAATGACTAAGACTAACCTCTTATTCATAAAAAATAAAAGGTCCTACAAACTTATTTAAGTAGTAGAGTGTTTTGTTGTATTCGCTATATTTTAAATTGAGAACTTAGCGCACAAGAAATGGACAGAACTCTTCAATAGCTAAAACAAGTTCGAACAAGTAAGAATCTATCTGTACTTGTAGAATACAGAGGACAGGAATTTTGCAAATCAAATATTCGAAAACGACAAAAGATTTCTATTAATAGCTAGACGCAGTTAGTATGGAAGGTTTCAAATGGTATATTTTCACATTTTCTATCAAAAGTTGAATACAACATGAATCCTTTATCTATATATTTTCTTTTGCAATGAGGATCATCAATAATATCTGATATTATTTCAAAATTCAAATGCTTAACTTAAGTTGGTAGTTGCTGAGATATTGATGTCTAATTCCCTTATACCGTTTTAACATAGAATCCTAAAAATAATATTTCATACTGCAGAAAAATCTTTAGCAAATTCCCACTGGGGAATTATAATTTTATGTTCTTCATATCAGGATATGCTCTATCTAATCATTCTTCTGTCTACCTAATAGTAAAATTTATAAAGGATTTCAATAAAAACTTTAAAGGTGATTTACATAACATAAAATAAAATTTAGAATTGGATACTATCATCTACTTATTACTAATATAACGTATAACCTTTCCTAAACTTTCTTATATCTGCACATAGTTAGTAAC